ATGTGAATTAATTCACATGCTATAAACTTACTCGTAATCGCATGAAGAACCAGGTTATGATTCGTTCCATGAATAATTATGCGGGTCGGATGTAATCACCGGGCATATTTACCAGAGAGCGTGCATGTTTTGCTTAACATGTTATTAAGAAGGAAACATTGATATTCAATTGCTGCACATCCTCGCGTAGCCAGCGACTACGTAACGAGTTAAACCTGCAATTTACTTTACATGCATGTCCGCTTACATACCGACTTAAATTATAGCGATGTTATGTTATACGTCTTGATCTTAAATAGATCTGAAAAGACTGTAGCCATTTTCTAAAATAACTATTTCACTGCCATGGCCAATCGGACATGGAAACAGCGTTTGATATGAAGTGGCACGGTTACTAAAATCGTGGAATAATATTTGTGCCTACACCATCCTACGAAATCAACTGTGGTGCGTACGTGCGTGTGTGTGTGTGTGCGTGCGTGCATACTTGTGCGTGTGCGTATTCTTGTGCGTGGGCGAGGGTGTGCGTTTGTTGGGGGGATAGCGTGCCTGTGGGTATACTTACGTCACATCATTTCATTCTGGTAACTATCATCACACCATGGCTTCAGCATAGAGATTAAAATGTGCCGAGAATAAATCCGTTCGGTGTAATATAATGCCGTGACATGTTCATTTAACCACTTATTTATATAGAAACTGTTCTGTATCGCCGGCAGCATGCGGCAGGGGTGCGCGATTCTATCTCATTATCATCGTGTGAACGCAGACACTTTCAACAGTCTGTCTCTATTACTCCTCTATGCATTTTGTGCGTGGTATTGATTATCCAGCAAGCTTACTATGTGCGAGTGGATGGATGGTCGGTCTGCGGGGCTGTATACACAGGAGTTGAACAAACTGGGGTTTTTTCGGTATCGTACCCACGCGCAGAGCAATCAGCGAAAGCAAGAGCGGCGTCAAAAATACGTAGCACAGAAATTCTATGAAATATTATAATCAAATGGCGGATTCAGCGCATCGTGCGTGAGGTATATCACAGCGTAACGCATCTAACGCTGCAGACATTCTGAATTTGTACGACAGTGAATTGCCAGCGTTAATGGGGGTTTAAGTTCAAGAAACTTTCCACAAAGATTTACTTCGGGTAAAAGCAGCAGCAGTATATCCATTTCAATGCGTGTCGGACATCCCGTTACGAAGAATGATACCCATGCTTATATAATAGCTTAGCATCACTTGAAGCTTTGTTATTTTGTTGAAGCCATTTATTAAACTATTATTTAGTTTAGTTGTCTAATCATAATCGACATTTGCAGTTCCTATTTTGATATATAAGTTTACGCAATTATATTGCCTGGCATATTTTATTATTGGTTAATTTTATGGCGGTAGATATTTTATGATACGCAACGGAAATTTAAACGGTTGACTGCAAATATATGTGGGATCAGTAAAAAATGTAAAATGTGCAATTAGTTCACATGCAAGTAAGTAAGAATATCATGTTTTCACATAGCAAATGTTAAAATAAGCCAGTTTGTGTGTAGGTATAACGATAGGTGTGTTTTGTTTTGGATCCGAGTAACATGGGACTAGGAATTCAATGCTAAACACATGAATATCTGACGATATGCGATTAGCTTATTGATTGCGTGTTGTTAGTTCATCACTAAACGCGTTTTGTACCTCACGTGGCAGCTGGTTAAAAATTTATATATCTAATGAATAGATGAATATGATGATGGATAGGTGCATATACTCTCTCTTGTCTCGTTGAAATAGTGGTAAAGATAAAACATTACGCGCCTTTCCTCGCATACGATGAAATAACAACAAACTGCGACCTCGTGTCTAAATGTAACAATTTACACATCGACGATTATGTATAACTGGATAGCAGAAATAGCTTTAGAGAGGTATTAGTCTGTTTCACTGATGATTTAGTACGCTACTACTTTTTACATGTTGATTGTAGGTTTTGGGAAAATTGTACACGATTAACACACATTGGACAGATATATTCAGGGGGAAAAGCATGATTTGAAATTTGAAATTAATTTAAGCAAAATATTATATATCCTGTGACAACGCAGAGTGTAATTTTATCGAGGTAATAATCGCTGCACCCTTGTTGTCGCGTCATTAATCGAATTCGTCTGTAGTTTCATCACTATATGTACTAATTTACTGGAAGTTTCAGCGCAATGGACAAATAATTCCTGTGTGCGTTCTTCCGTAGGAAATACTGAAGCGGTCTATAAAACTAGGAGATGTTGTTGAAACGAGAAAGTATCTAGACCACAACAAACTCACAGAAAGGGTAAGCAAACTCACAGCCACGAAAACTGAAGCACGCCGGTGATAAATACGCTTCCTGAACGATGCATTATAGTTAGCAAGTAGTCCATTTACTTAATCCGGATTTTATGTATTCTCTCGACTATACTAGAATATATTTCTAAGTATAAGTCTATAAGTGAAATTTCCAGTAAAATTTAAATAATCTAAAGCCATAAAGTAATTGATCATTTGTGGTCAATTTTCCCGGACAGATTTAACTTTTAAATGAGAGGCCAAATCCAATAAACTTTTCACTTCACATGGTCGCCGCCGTTTTATCGACTTCCTAAATGTAATTTTTAGTTTCGAAATTGCATTTCTGAGTTTCTCGTCTCTCCCACAGGAGAAGAACACCGTTTTGCATCTGCTACTGGAAGGCAGCTCGAGCAATGGACAGACGCCCAGGGTTGAGTCGTTCAACCCGCGTGTGCAAATTACCTACATGCTGTGTGCTTGTGGCGCCAATGTTGATCAACTCAACCAGGTAAAAGCAGCTCTTCAACGAAATCCGTAAACGATCGAGCAGTGATGCTGAGTGGTGGTGGTGGGAGGGGGGGCTCGGTTATAGCGCACCATGGTGGCGGTGGTGGTAGTGGGGTGGGGTGGGGCGTGTTTACATAATGACGAATTTTCTGTCTAGATTGCACTGCACGGCCAATTTAATTCTGAAAAATGGCATAATTAACAGGACGGCTGATTTATATACGCCCGCGCGCACACACGCGTATATATACGCTATTATACATGCTTCCGTTCGGTCTGCGACGCTGATCGTCGGATCTCTTCTACAGACCTCTGCGGAGGCCCTCTGTCCAAGATTCCGCTTTCGCGCGCAAATCTCACACTGCACGTGTCGTAATTTCAGGACGACCACACCCCTCTACAGGTGGCAGCACACCATGGCATGAATCACCCGTGCGAGGCGTTGTTGCAATGCGGCGCCGACATGTACGTCTCCTTCAAAGAGGTAGGCCAATTAGTGTTTGAACGAGTGTTTAAAATTTGTACCCAATGTCGCTTCCTCGGTTGAGTTTACTAGACGTGTTGGTTATACCAGTGGTTCACACATGGGTTCCATATGGGACCTATGGTGGCATGAGCTAGGACTAGGGAATACAGAAACTAGAATCGTGTGAAGAATTAGGGTGAATAGACTCTTGGGCGAACGTACCAAAAGTATAATCGTCTGTACCATGCGAGAGAAATGTATGTGGTAGCAGCCGATCACCCTTGTGTGACATACTGATGCTATATCTAACTCAACTCAGCATGCACTGATGATCGCCCTTTATCATCGTGGTTACCCACCTCTCCACTTCTCTCTTATTATCCCTTGCACTCAACTCCTCTCTATCCCTCTATTATTCTGTCTCTCGCTCTCGCGCTCTCTCTGTATTTCTCTCTCTCTCATATAATTACGGATTCAATCAAACCGAACAGCGCTGATTATGGAGCGTACTTATAGTGACGGTGGTGATTGCGTAAGCAAGCTCTATAACCACGCAGATGCACTCACGTCTGCGTCATTCTCAACTCCTGGGATTGCTCGTGATGGCACAAGGGATGCCCACCGGTGCTGTGTTTGACTCTCTCTTTCTCTCTCTCTCTCTCTCTCTCTCTCTCTCTCTCTCTCTCTCTCTCTCTCTCTCTCTCTCTCTCTCTCTCTCTCTCTCTCTCTCTCTCTCTCTCTCTCTCTTTCTCTCTCTCTCGGCTGCTGACCATAAAAATGTTTGCCCATCGTATGTGGATCTAATATGTATGACTAGCCGCGGAGGCAGCTTCCCTTTATTGGTTCATTAGCGAACCGAGTTTACACGCAGCTGTCTATGTGCTGCCAATCCAACCGCCTCGTGTAATGCATTGGCTCAGCTACTCAGCGTTCCTCCGTTCGTTTTTCGCCGCGGTGTAGCCTCGGCGCAGCAATATTGTGTTTTTTACGATACGATATTTTTCTTCGTCGGATCGCGGGTGTGTCGTCGTATGTAACACGGATAGGTGTATAATAATGCCGATAGAATCGAATGCGTCGGCGCCGCGTAGTGGATCTATTTGCTTCGGCGGCGCGCTGGCGGATTGCTCTACCGTCTAGCGAGGTATAACGAATCCCGGGTTGAAAGACACGCGCGAATATGCATCCCGTAATCGAGCGACGGGACCGAAATTTGAATGAGACCGAAGAAGCACTCGCATCGTAATGTGTGTACACAGCAGGATTATGAGCCGCACAATTTCTTTTGCTATAATGCTAGCCGACCGGAAGTGATTATGTTTGCTTAGAGATGCTTCGCGTATCGCGCCCTAGCTCCTCGTGAAGTCATCGCTATGAGATGAGAGCTGTTGGAAAGATTGAAGCGTAGATCGCATACACGGACCTCACCGCACACACACCCTCTCTCTCTCTCACACTCTCGCTTGCTGTCTCTCTCTCTCGCGCGCGCTCTCTCTCTCTCTCTCTCTCTCTCTCTCTCTCTCTTTCTTTCTCTCGCTTGCTCTCTCTGTCGCTCTCTCTTTCGCTTGCTCTCTCTCTCTCGCTTGGTCTCTCTCTCTCTCTCATTCATTCTCGCTCTCATTATATTTCTTTCTCTCTCGCGCTTGCTCTCTCTCTCTCTCTCTCTCTCTCTATATTTCTCTCTCTCTCTCTCTCTCTCTCTCTCTCTCTCTCTCTCTCTCTCTCTCTCTCTCTCTCTCTCTCTCTCTCTCTCTCTCTCTCTCTCTGTCCGCCTGTCTCCACATCTCTCTCCTCTCTCGGTCTATCTCTGTTGGTCTTTCCGCCCCTTCTGCTTCTGCCCTTCCTGCCCTTTCTTCTCGCTGATTTTCTTCTTGTATCACTGGCTTTCTTTCTTGTGCACTCAGTTCTCCCTTTTCCTCTCCCGCGCACCCTCGTTCTTTGTCTCCCCCTCTTCATCTCTGTAACCCACCCACTCTCGTTGTTTTCTCGCGCACTTTGCCTTTTCGTCTCCTCTCAATCGCGTGCTCTCTCTTTCGCTCTTTCTATCTCTGTGTCTGTCTCTTCTACTCTCTCTTGCGCGCGCTCTCCTCTTCTCACCGTTTCTCTCTCCGCTCTCTCTCCCTCGCTATCTCACTGTCCGTCTCTCTTTTTTCTAGCTCGTTTGCTCTCTCTATCCCTTTCGTCCGCTTGCTCTCCGCACATCACGCTTTCTCTGGAATCGTTCTTCCTGCATCTGATTAGCTGATTCTGACGGGCGCCGTATTGCAACGCTTAGCAAGCTCCGCTTAGCAAACAGAAAGCGGGCGTACGCACATAGCCGTAATGCCGCTTTCAACGCTCATCAATTAAATTGTTCGAAATCCGCGACAGTTTTTTTTCACGGCGCGAAGAATAAAAGCACTATTTTATTCAAGTCGAATCGCGCGAAGTAGTAACTAATGGCTGCGAGCGCGTATATATTAGAATAGAATATATGCAGATATTCTAATCGCTAGATACGCGCTACACCAGCCACGTGTATATTCTATAAGCCATAGACGCAATCTTCCCAGATGCACATCGGCTCTATAAATGCCCTCCGCATTTAATTCGGGAACCGCATGGCAAAAATATAATCAAGAGCTAATAATACCTATATATATATATATATATATATATATATATATATATATATAATAAGGTATTATTAGCTCTTGATATAATGTAGGACTTTTTATTAAAACATCTTAAATTTAACTTTTTTAACACGAGTTTTTCCCCGCGTCGTTCATGGTTGGTCACGCAACCTGCCGGTTATGGCGAATAGCACTTGACCTCGCCGCGGTGAACGATCTGAATAGACAAATTAAGCCTTGGAATTCAGAAAAAGCGCATACGCGTAATGAGAAATGAATGAAAAAAGCTGCGCGCAATCTTCGCCGTTACTTTGACGATGATATTAAAGTAGAGGCTCGATGACTCAGGCAGCGGCCCTATCTAGTCGGGATATACGGAGAGAGAGAGAGAGAGAGAGAGAGAGAGAGAGAGAGAGAGAGAGAGAGAGAGAGAGAGAGAGAGAGAGAGAGAGAGAGAGACGAGACGAGACAGAGAGAGAGAGAGAGAGAGA